CCTGTTTGGCGGCGAAACCCCGTTTAGGTCAATGAAAGAAGTCCCTCCCCTTCAGAGTAGTGAAATCTTGAACCGGTCAGTGAATTTTCTCAAATGTAATTCAGTTTCCTGTCGGTTGTTACCAATACCAAGATACGGATAATTTTCACGAAATTACGTGTTGTATAGAAAAAACCACTGATTTTCGAGAAATTAATTGTCGTGCCTTTATATGTCGGTTAGGTCTTGCTATATGACTACTGATTATTACTCGATCCTATAAATGAGAGATTAACTTTCCCCACGCGAGTTCGATGTCTGTATACTTAGTTTACCTCATCTAAAGACGTTTCCTACCTGGTTTTTCTCGAGCAAGTTCAACACAATTAAGGAAGTATACAGTTCACTGAAAGTCCTTTAGGAGCATGATACAATCTTAAATAATCTTCACCAGGTTATGTTGGGAATAGTTCAAATTGAGACTCATGAAGTAACAGGTCGTGCTGGAGTGATGATTCCTACACCAGGCTTCAGTATGTACCAAGCTAGACTACTACAACACAACTCTTATCAGGTAATGACCACAACAGAACGTTTAGTTATTTTTCGGGTAGAACTGCATACAAATGGTGTTTGAAAGCTTCTAGCGTCCTTTTGACGTGTACGACCGATGTACCGTACAAAGAAAAAAAAAAAGAGAAAAAACACCTATACATGCAAAACCTTCCGATAATAATTCAAGGCTTTCAGTAGAGACAATAGAAACATACGTGGAAAGACAAGTGCTGCTGTAGTATGCGCCTGCTATATGCAACTTCACACGGCGCAAGTAAAACTTTAAGCTTTAAAAAAATTTCTGATGACCAATTTGGTGTCAACTGGCTTAGTCTGATTCAGTTCAATACACCGATGAGTTCATTTACCAGCATAAATGACTGACACGGACACGCAATAGAAATTCTGACAGAGTACCAAAAAACTGACACACATCAAATGCAAAATGAATGAGACCAACCTTCCAAGGCACCGAAATTTCTTTCAGTCTGTCAAGTTCTTCAGGTTTCCTCGTTAAATGTCAGGTATCTGAATTACATAAACAGCTACTTTCGCAAGCGCTGTGTTGCCCGCGGCCCGGCTGCATCCGGGCTCCATTCCCGCCAAAAGTGTAGTGACGTCACATCTCTGCGAAAATGTGATTGGTGACTTCCAACAACTTTACCTTTCTGATACATGTCATCATGATTCATTACTTAACACATTTTCAATGCTTTGTCCAGATATTTTACCCTCTTGATGAAGATAATAACTGGGCTTTGAACATGGCTACACTCAAAAGAGTGTTGGAGGAAGCCAGACCGCATTGCGTCCCAAGAGCCCTTGTATTGATTAATCCAGGAAACCCAACAGGTAACTTTTGTAAATTTGACAAATTTCAAAACTTTTTTTATTCTGGAAAGAAAAAGTGTTAAGACACTTAAAAATTCAATTTTCTGTTTTTTAGGACAGGTTTTGACTTATGAAAACATTGAAGAAATCATCAGGTTCTGCGCTCGAGAGAAGTTAGTGTTATTCGCCGATGAAGTCTATCAAGCCAATATTCATGTCGATGGAGTCAAGTTTCACTCGTGTAAGAAAGTCCTGAGGGATTTGGGAGCAGAGTACAGTAACTTTCAACTGATCTCGCTTCATTCCAGTGCAAAGGGATATGCTGGAGAGTAAGTGTACAGTATGGGTATACTCAAAAAGTTTGTGTCTATAATTACTTCATGTAAGACTTAAGATAGACTACAAAGTGTTGACCTGAATTGACATGAAACCAGGGAAACTCGTGTTACCTTGAGCGAAAAGAAGACCAGTAGCTTGAAGGGCGGTAATATCCATACAATAATTCAGCGAATAAAAGTCCACAAAATAAACTACTCTGTCCACCGAATAATGATATATTTGCTGGAGAGTGTCATGTTACCCACCTGGAGGCGATTGGGAAGCCAGGGGCTCACAGGGACGGCAAGAGAACACCATGCCCCCCCTATCTTGACCAGTAGTTGTCAACCAAAGGAGAAATCGCCAATAATATTTCATAAAATTGTAGTGTAATTGTCACCTCCATCCTGGATAATGAAGCGTGATATTGTTAATTTCGATTTTTTAAAGCCATTGAATACATAATTTCTTTCAGATGTGGTCTCAGAGGTGGATATATAGAGCTTGTGGGATTAAGTGAAAAAGTCAAGGCTCGTATCAAAATGTACCTCAGTGTAAGATCTTGCCCCTCAACAGTTGGGCAGGTACGATTAAGATAATAAAACGGCATTCATATTAAGGTATACCGAAATCAAAGCTGAAATTGAAAACTTAAGAGAAAGGCCAGTGGTTCCAAAATAAATTATTCTCGCTCAGTTGTCGCAAAGGGAAAAAAGACCTTTAATCAGAAACAATTGGGTACATGTATAGACAGAGATGAAAAAAAATACTTTCAATTAGCGTTCTCGCATAAGAAAATATTTTACTACTATTACTGTTACTATCATTATTGTTATGATCATTATTATTATTACTATTATTGCCACCATTCTTATCATAGCTGTTATCATCAGAAAACTGATTACCGTGACCTAATTATTTGCATATCTTACTGACGTTTTTTATTGATATTGGTGGGGAAGGGGCTAATCGTTGAGAGCTAAGGTCAAAGTATGCAGTCCTGCCCCCCTCCCCAAGACGTTTTACTCAATAACTTTCCCAATGGCCCCCATAGAAACTTCAACGACCATTATCTTCTGCGTTCAGCACCCTCCCTCCCCCTTCGAAAGTTTCGCTGATTGAAAGTTCCACCGTTCCTGCTCCCTTTTTCCATCGCCACCATTACATATCCTCGAGTTTAAGCCAACTTCTCCTTTTCCAAGGTGATCATGGGGCTCATTTGCAACCCTCCTAAACCAGGAGATGAATCCTACGATCGCTTTTTAAAGGTAAGCATTTAAAATTACATTTTAATTCGATAAATTTTTGACGAAAGAAACTAAACTTCTTACTAACAAGCGTTCTTGAGGAAACTTAACTCGAGTAACGTAAGTGTTGGGTGTCACGCAGGATGAAAAGTCGCGCCAGAAGAACAAATTGGCTATACACCTAAAATTTTGTTGATTATGTATCGTTTATGTTCGTTTCAAAGGAAAAAGAGACTGTACTGGATTCTCACAAGAAGAAGGCACAGTTGACAACAGAAATGCTCAACTCTATGGATGGGGTCCAATGTAATGAAGTAAGAGGAGCAGTATACGCGTTTCCGAGGATCACACTGCCGAAAAAAGCTATTGAAGAAGCAAAGGTAACATCACAAGCTCTGAGTAAGAATGCCCGCGTAACTGTAGACACACCCAAGGGGGTCAAAATTTCTTTCCTCTTGAGCAACTTCGAATTGCATGTCAACATCACTGCAGCGCGTGGCACGTCTACTATCAACGTGAAAATTATCAAGCATTAAAATAATGAATGGTGATCTTCGAACTGCCGCAAAGATAAAAAGCACGAAATTGTAATCGAGTATTTGAATGACCCTCAAATAGACCGACGCTGATCATGATTTGCTCCCTATATACATTTCCTGTTTCTGAGCAGTATCACCTTGAACTTGTTACCAGTCGATCGAATCTGGATTCTATCTTCCCGATTATACAACCAGCTATCTTTTTCCCTTTTAGGCACAAGGAATGCCTCCGGACGAGTTCTACTGTTGGAGGGCTTTGGAGAAAACAGGAAGCTATTTGGTGCCAGGCCACTCTTTTGACATTAACGGGAGCGGTAATCATTACTACTTTCGGTGAGATATGATGCGTATTGTGTTTTCAGATTGAGCGAAAAATTCAGCCCGTTGAAGCCCTTGGTCAGCGGAGACAATAAAGGAATGGAGCAGCCAAAAATGGCAAGCACCTATGCCAGGCCTTTAGGGCACGTTCCGCTCTCCCACTTTTTTGTCCATTTTTCTTTCTTTTTTTATACAGATTGTCTCACCCCCAGTTTGATAAGCGATGGCTTTTTTCCTGCTGGAAATATTTCCAGACTTCGCGATAGCGCGCCACGTACGGACTATCAGGCTTACTTGCGGCGTCAAAATTTACTCTTCTTTTGAAATTGGACTTAAACTTACCTTTCCCTCCATTTATTTTCTAATTATTATTTTTTACAGAATTACCATTCTTCCTTCAGAAGACAAGTTTCTTCCTATGTTTGAAAGACTGAAAACTTTTCATCAAGATTTTATGACGCAGTATAAAGACTAAAAAACCAAACTGTGCTCTGAAGAGTTTGTACTTTTTTCTTGTGTGAGCTTCTCAGTAACTTCAAATTAAAAGCGAATTATAGTTTTTAATCTAATAGGGAAAAATCTTTAGTCTAAGGGCAATCTAGTCTTGAGAGTACGACGGTTTTCGTAGAGAACTAGGTCGTTTCTAAAGGCTCCCGAAGGCGTCCCGAAAGTTCCGAAACCACCATGTCTAGTGATGACTAGAGTCGTGACGCCATTTTCGAAGCACAAAACACGAAGCTATAATTGTAACCAATCAGCAAGTAATGGTATGT